GAAATTTATACTCACTTATATAAATGAATGTTATACTCATCTGATATCGAATGTTATAAAAAATTGAGCAGATATACATTGAAATATGTAAATTTATGGGCAATATATTGAAATCCTTTAACTAATAAACAATGTGCATATCAAATCTTAAAGTATCTATAGCATTGATATTCTTTATTTGATAAACAAATAAATATCAAATGTATTTTTGGCTAATCTAAAAATGGGTATAAATCATCGGTGCAAATGATCTATATAGTATAGGAAATTTATACTCATTTATATAAATGAATGTTATACTCATCTGATATCGAATGTTATAAAAAATTGAGTAGATATACATTGAAATATGTAAATTTATGGGCAATACATTGAAATCCTTTAATTAATAAACAATGTGCATATCAAATCTTACAATATCTATAGCATTGATATTCTTTATTTGATAAACAAATAAATATCAAATGCTTTTTTGACTAATCTCAAAATGGGTATAAATCATCTATGCAAATTATCTATATAGTATAGGAAATTTATATTCACTTATATAAATGAACTAGTGCGTGGCCCGTGCGATGCACGGAAAAATAATATTATAATTGTATTATAAATTAAATATATATATATATATATATATATAACATTAATTATGATTTATTCATTGTATTTGAATACCGGGTTGGACACAGTTCGACCGGATGGATCAAGCACTGGTTTATAACCAGTCTAGTTCGCGTTAATAAAATATTTGCTCTCGAATCCGTCAACACCAGTCGATTATTTGAAGTTTGACTACATCACATTCACGTAATAAAATATTTTCAATATAAAATTTATATTTAGGTTCAATAATCGATTTGGTGTGGTCGAACTGATACATAACTTAGTCACTTGGGACCAACCGCGTTGTGTCAAATTTTTTGACTATTTTAAATATCACCTAAAAGTAATACAATCAACCTGGGCAGTACCCTAATTCAGTCACTCGATTGATCCGAAGAAATTTTCTTATTTTCTTTAAATATATTTGATTTTATGCAATAAAAATATTTTATGATTCATATAATAAATGTCTACACCAAATGATAGTATATTAAGAGTATAAATTATATATCTAAAGATAAATTAATTAATTTTACTTTATGCATATTAGTAAAAAATAAACATAGTAATTTTAAAAAAAATAGAATTAACTGATTGATTATGCAATTTAAAGAATATTTTTTAGTGTTCAATATTTTTTTAAAGGCACAAATATAAAGACCGAGATTCTAAAAATTTTGTTATATTTTGAATTGAGATTTTATAAATATAGAGACCGAGATTCTAATGTTGCTCATTGTTTCTAAGAAAAAAATAAAAATAAAAACATACGCACTTAATAAATCTTAGCCTGATTTTTTAAATAATGACATGAACTAAAGCCCAAAATTTAAGGTAACATTTAATGCTATATGATTTTTAAAGAAAAAAATAAGAAAAATAATAAAACTTACTATTTATAGGCTGCATTAAATTTAGACCTATTCTTTTGCTACTATTTTTGGTAAATAGTAATTCTTATTATATATAGATAGATGCTATACTCATTTGATATCGAATGTTCTAAAAAATTGAGAAGATATACACTAAATCGATCTGGGGTGATCGAGTTATGGGTCAATGACACAATTGAGGTTGATCCTGAGTGACTAAGTTATGGGTCAATTTGACCAGACCAAATCGATTATTGAACTAAATATAATTTCTAATATTAAAATTACATTATTAAAATAAATGTAATGTAGTTCATATTCCAAATAATCATATTAAGAATGTTTTTGTGACAACATGTTCAAGGAATTATGAACAGTTATATTTAATTTATTAATATTTATGTGAACAAAATGATGTTGCATTACAAGATTATTAATGTACGGCAAATTCAATGTTCTTAGGAGAGGATCGTTTTCAAAACGATCAAGTTATTTATTAAATTATTTATTAGTTGCATCAGAATTTAAATTATAAATATTTTAATATATATATATATAGCATTTTTATAATAAATTATTAAAAAAATTAATTAAATATATGAACCATTTAAAATTTTTCAATGTTTAACTAAATGATAAATAATTTATAAATGTCTACTTTATTTAAATATGTATTTTTTCTTATATTAAAAATAATTTTAAATGTAACAAAATTTATTTAAAAAAATTGTATCGTTACTACCAATCTGACTGACTGGTGTTGACCGGTGCTCTAGCAAACATTTTATTCCAAGCGATATATATTTATTTGATATATATTTATTATACAATATTTATTTCATGATATATACATGCAATGTTTTACAAGATCAACACGTACTGCTAATATGCAAGGAACCATTCTACTTGATAAACGTTGTAATTTGCTGCCATATCTATATACACTGCATACTTATGAAACAATGACAATCGTTATCACAAACTTAAAACGTTGTGTACAAGAAAGTATTCAATAATTTATATTGCGATCCATTTATTTTTGTTACATATATATAAATTATATTAATTTTAATATATCACATGTCAAACATTCCAGAAAAGTATATCATCTCATGCATCGCACGGGCTACGCGCTAGTTTAGTTGATGTGAGAGACGACATAATTATCTTTATGAACATAGGACTTGAAGTGTTGATGTGTAATTTTGTTTTTCACCTTTACTTCACATCTCGTCCATAGCATATAATGGATAGATTGGTTCTATATACTCTAATCGATAGACATAATTTAGAACGCAAATACTTAGGTGTGCCAGGGCGCACGGTAGTAGCACTGAATTTAGAAATGATTTTTGGATTACATATGTCAATCAAAATACGTAACAAAATCTTAGGCCTCTTTTACTCTATGGGATGAGATTGAAGATATTTATCCCACCTACTTTACACGTCAGCATTTATCCAATGTTTACAAAACATGCTGCATTTTAAGTAAAAAACAATCAAACATTTACTAACCTGGACAAAATGATATGAGAAATAGCACAAGATAAATATACCCTCATCTTCTACACACAAAACATCAGATTTGTCCCCTATTTTCGACCCTAAAAAAATTTATAAATATATTTTAAATATTAATAATTTTTAAATTTATTATAAAGTTTTATATATTATATATCACATTAATAATCCTATGATGAGCTTCAATTTGACATTTTTATTGTACATACAAAATAAATAAATTATAACACTTTTTATAATAAAAATTAAATAATCCATTAATATTATTTCAAAAAATTAAATTATTTAAATTATTATTTTTTTTGTAAAATAATTATTGTAAATTAAATAATATGACTTTATTTTAAATTAATATTTTTAAATTAAATAAAATTATTTAAGCTAATATATTTAACTTAACTAAAATTAATTTAAGTTATATAAAATTATTTGAATTAAATAAAATTATTTAAATTAAATATTAGTTTTTAAATTTAATAATTTTTAAATAAAATGATATTAATTAAATTAAATAATATTATATTAAATTAAATAAAATTTTTTAAGTTAATAATTTTTAAATTTATTAATATTATTTTAAATTAATAAAAAAATTTAAATTAAATAAAATTATTTAAATGAAATAATATTTTTTAAATTAAATAATGTTATTTTAAATTCAGTAAATTTATTTAAATTAAATAATATTATTTTTTTGGACAAAATGGTCATTTCATTAGTGGAATAAAAATATCGCACCTATTTATTGAGACTGAATTATTCAACCACATATGCATCTCCGCGTGGGATCCACCTGCCACATGAGCTAAATCCTAGTCACAGTCATATATAATAAACACAGAATATTGTTGGTTAAGGCCGATATCCCATCCCATCCTAGTAAGTAAACGAGGCCTAACTCTAAGCAATAACTTAAATCTTTTAATTGTTATATAAAGCGCAATAGAATAATTAATTATGATACATTCATACAACATTTTTTTTAGGTGCATTTTTCACTTGATCACCACCACCACCATCATAATTAAATAACATAAAAACACAAACTTGATAATAGTTTGAGCAAATATCCCTTCAAAATGTGCATTTAAATACATTTAAATGTTTATTTTCTTAAATATATTTA